TGCAGTAATCTAGTCTGGAAAAGATGAATGCGTGAATGACTTTTTTGTAGAGGCTAGGCAATAAATATCCTCTTAACTATAATAACTAGGCTATTATGTGAGATGTCACTCACCATGTAAAGCAGCTCTGTACCTGGGTTAATTTTTATACTGTATATGTACTGTACAATGCTGATCCCAGGTTCATGTTCGCATCTCTCTCTCATATATATATATATATATATATATATATAAAAATATATATATATATAGTCTTTACACAGTTAAGTCTAAGTCTGAAGACAAAATGTCACAAAAAAAAAAGAAGAAGACAGAAAGTACGTTTTGTTGGAATTATATGACCAGTTGTACTAGTAAAAGTAAAGGTAGCGTATAATGTTGTTTAGTCTGATGCTGGGATTATGCTTATCTGAAGGTAAATGTCTCTGTGGACCTACACAGGGAAAGGTGTTATAAAGGAAGTTGGGTGTATGGTCTAGACCTGCTCTATTTGAGAAGTGTTTGTATCCGTAGGCAGGAGAGGAGCTACCGCACACAGCTTCCAAATCTCAACAGTATGTGCGGACTGATTGATTCACCTCGGTCAACGGAGACAAAAACAAATGTAACAAACGTGTGTGTGGAATACTTACGCTGTCGAAGCCTCTCTTTCCCAGCAGGCTTTGGCCCACACGAGGCTGGCTGGCCTGATTCCTGTTGATGGGTGTTGGGGGTCCTCTAGACGCCTTCAGTTTCAGAGGAGCGGAGATGGCTGTGGAAACACAACAGCACTCCTCAACAACTAATCATACTGGAGGAAGGATGTAGCAAACTAGGATTCAGAGAGCTGCTGAGGAGGGAGGTCATCTGACGTGTTCTTACCTAAATCCTTCACTATGGTGGCCAGTGACTGTCGAGGCACCAACTTGCTCTTTAGAGGAGTTTTTGTGGCTTTGGGCAGCCGGATCATACCTGACAATACAGAGAAATCAAACATTTTAACCCATAAACAATGTGGTTTACGTTAATCTACTAGTTTACACAGTACTTTTAAACCAGAGATTGTTAACTGAACAGCCGCAGAGCTTACAGATTTACAGAAATTATAATTCACATATGATGACAACCTCATTAATAACAAGCTCTATTCAGGAACTTATTGTGGATGTGTGTGTGTGTGTGTGTGAACGTACACTCAGCCTTGACGGCGTTGGCGTTAATGGAGGCATAGGGCCGCCGTGCGGCGCGCCGGGGCTGCAGGATGTCCTCGCACACCCGCCGGGCAATGCGGGTCAGCTTGGTGGTCTGCAGGATGAACGTCTGGCGGTTCTTGGCCAGCAGCTTGGCCCGACCCTCATTGCGGGTGAACGGCGACATGCCCTGGACCTCCTGGCGTGTCATGTGACCCCGAGGGCCTGACTCCTGGATGGAGAGGAAGAGGGGACATCCTTGAGACATGTTGTTCTGAGAGGCAACTCCAATTAGTGCAATATGATTAAAAACTGCACTGCTTTTAACTGATGAAAGAGGAGACTTACAGAGCCAGCTCTAGCAGCGCCCTCTAGCTGTGTGGGGGTCTTGAGGCCTCCATACTTCTTCCAGTAGATCCAGCAGGAGGCGCACAGTCTGCACTGCATGTTGGGAGGCCCCCAGGCATACCACTGAGGAGACTGGGCCGCTGGGATGGTGGGGGGAAAGTCAGTATTATTGTGTAGACTAAACATGATACAGCAGTAGAAAACCAATGTCTGAATATCTACATCTGCTCACAGCTTTGTAGATGACACCAATTGTGCAGTGTGAAAAAGAATAATGAATGTAGAACATTAAAATGCTGTAAAAAGGCAATACAAACAGTGAAGAGGAAGTGAATACTGAAATATACCTAAACAGCTTTCACATACAGTACTGTACCAGCAGAACAATGTGTCTATAAAACCTCAGGAACTCAAACCATCCTCTTTCTATAGGTGATACTGCAGCTGGACATTTCTGCTTCTGCTTTGAAATAAGAAGAACTGTTTGTCGTTTGATCAAAGTAGCCCAGAGTTCAACCTTAGCCTCTCTTTTATTGTTATTATAGTTGTTTGTGTTGTTTTCCTCTCACAAGTTACAATTATGCCACATTCTGACCCATTTTACACCCATACCAGGTTCCATGTCGGTTTTGTTTTGTAGTTTTTTTCCACGTGATCAATAGTAATATTTGCCAAAAACTAATCTAAAAGTGAGACTGCAGCTTTATAAAGGTAACATTAACTTCATTAATCCAGTCAATGGTCTGTCTGTATTGGTCAATTTCCTCCTCCGGACATTGACCAGCTTTAGTGAACTGGCCTTTCTATCAGAAATTTATGACAGCGACATTTAACCATCCTTTTAACAGACTTACTGGGAAAGAAGACAGAAAGAAGGAAAGAGAGAAAGAGAACAGAGAGAGGGAGGGAAAATATCATCATCATGTTAACAAAAATTGCAATAACATCCACTGACGAGAGGAGAATTAAGGGAAAATAGTCATGTCTGTGTAGGATGATACGATTTCATATTAGTGCTGATTTGTGTGATCAGTGCTCACTAGGCTGTCCCAAGTATCATTTTGGGGGATTTAAATCTTGAGTGAGAAAGATGAAGTTGAAGAAGAAGAAGTAGAAGAGTAAAATATCCACCATGATGGGTCATTTTATTGTAATACCAGATCAGATCTCAGTGTCTGTCTGTGTTTCTGCAGCTCCTTCAGAGTGTACTTACTGTGGCAGCTCTCACAGCTGAGTCCTTTCTGAAAGCCTGCTGCACCGTTCATGCCGGGCTTGCTGCCTGGAACCATGATCTGGTTGGGGTTGGGTTTGGTGCTGTGAGGAGAGAAGAGTTCGGAGATAACAGTGAAATATTCTAACAGTGGTTCCGAAGGTGCTTCACGTGGTGCTTTACAGTAATACTCACTAGGTGGGGATGTACACCTGCTTCAGCTTGCTGTCTGCCTCTGCCGCCTTTAGTCGTTTCTGATGGAGGAAGCAGGGAGTGGGAGATGGGTTTGTGAGGAAAACTCAGAGAGACATGCAGTTAAACCCAAATCAGAACGTTTTAGGTATTTTGTGCAGACCTACCTGTTGGATGTAGCGGTCGGTGGTCTTCCACATGTAGTAGAACTGGACCACACTGGCTAGAGACTTCCAGGGCAGCTGAGGGAGAAAAGGAACCATGTTGAACAAGAATTCCACCTTCAGGATACATACAGAATGCCTGGAGTTATACACTAGTGCTGCAGAGAAGAAGCGCTTACAAAGTCCTGGCGGATGTCGTTGAAGTCTTTTCCATATTTCTCCAGAGCCTCCTCGAACAGCATGGCCTCTGAGGCGCTCCACTCCTCCATCTCATCACGGCACAGCACCGGACCCCCCTGAGGAACCAGGGTGGACATGGCTTTGGCCAGGTCATAGTTGTTCTTCTGCAACGTGTCCATGGCGTGGAACTGACAGCAGAGAGAAGGGTTACGATGGGTTACCTGAGCTTGAGAGTTACCTGGTTGGTATTCCAACCTTGCACTAACTAACTAAGGTGAACTAATCTGGCAGTTATTAAAATCTCTCTCTCTCTCTCTCTCTCTCTGTCTCTGTCTCTCTCCTCTCTCTCTCCATTCATCCCTCCATCCTTCTGTTAAACAGAATTTCAGAGCGAATCCAGAGGAGCTTTTCACCAAACTGGACAGGATAGGAAAAGGCTCTTTCGGTGAAGTTTTTAAAGGCATCGACATTCGGACTCAGAAAGTGGTGGCCATTAAAATTATTGATCTGGAAGAAGCGGAAGACGACATAGAAGACATTCAACAGGAAATCACAGTTCTCAGCCAGTGTGACAGTCCCTTTATCACCAAGTATTATGGATCCTATCTGAAGGTGAGCTCCGCAGGAAAAATCCATCTGTAAGAGTCCATTCTCAACACAGTGCATGTATCAGGAGTGTGTTCCTGCAAGTGTTCACAATGTAGGTCAATAAATAATGCATATGGGCAATGGAACAAGTATGGCCTGTGTAATATTGCACAGATTGTTGTACCACAGTTAGAAATAGGCCAACATCGCAGTAGTATGTAGCTCGTGGGCTTCTGACAGTTTAACTGCACTCTGTAAGTATGATTATGAGGTCAACCTGCGGACTTTTAGCTTCAGTATCAGGGTGTTCACATGCAGATGGGGTGAACAGGAACCAAGTGCAGCGTGACTGACAATTATCGGGGTGTAGATCCTGCTACATTCATCTGGTGTGAAATGTCAACACCCATGAAGCTAAAAGTCCGCTCTTTAATATCACAGTCACTGTTTCATGTCAGATTCAATGTGCAAAAGTACAAAGCCCAAACAAAAGCCTTCTCTGTATACAAGCCAAAAGCCAAAGTCTCTGATGTTTTGGTCGTCTGCAGTGGATGTATTGACAGCTTCACTTAGTTTGTAACTTCAGTAGATTTTCAGGCATGCTACATGTGATGGTGCTTAGAGTGCCTCGCACAGCATTTACTGTGCTACTTAACAGCAGTAAGGAGAGAAGTGGTGCTCCATTAACTCGAGCTATGCTGCTGGCTGAAGGAGAGAATTAAGGCTTATTTGTGTGTAGACTAAGAATGGTATTTGTGCTGTGTTTATGTATGCATTCACACGTGTTACAAAACTTTAAAGTAGGAGTGTGAAGTTCCCTTTTTATTATTTGTTTTCTGTCGATTTAGTTAAATGTAGTTCCTGTAAAAACAACAACTGGGAACTCGAAGGGAGTTGTTGGGGACAAGAGGTAAAAGACAGGGACATGTTGGTGGAAGGTAGTTACTGTAGTTTGGTCAGCAGCAGCAGCAGCACCTCATGGAGGCTATTAAGGTACTTTAAAATCATTCCAAACATTTACTTCTTTGAGTCGTAACTCAGTCAAATCTAAACCTGATACACATATTTTCACATTATGTACATTTCAAATGACTATTGCAAATAAACATCCGTAAATCCAAACAGAGCTGGTTTGGTGGGTTTGGGTAACATTGATGTCTGTCTGTCTGGACAGCAGCAGCAGATACTGTCTGAGTACATTTACATTACATCTTATAAATCACAATGCACAAACTCATTTATTCATTTGTAAATATTGCACTTGTGCAGGAAACAGGTGGATCAGACAGCTGACGTGTTTCTAGTGTTTCAGACCAGTGCAGGATTTACTCCGACTGCAGTCAGTCTGTAGAAGAGCGGATATGCAGAGGCTTATATCTTACTATACAATCTCTCCCAATCAATCAGTGAGTCATTAAAGACATCATTGTAATCAATTGTAAACTGCTTGTTGATATATTACGAAACAAATGTCTGTTTCTCTATCAGATTGGACGCACATTAGCCAGGCCTCTTGCCTCAAGCAGTGCAATTTCAGCCACTTACAACACAATGGCTCCACTGTGTTGCTATGTATATATTATATCCACCTGTCACCATAGTAGAAAACATTTCTGGGCCATGTAGCATTAAATAAGAAACATGAAAGAAATGATTGTATGTCATGTCAGCAGCCTTCTCCAAAAGTGAATGGGAGTTGCTAAGCTGTAGTGTACTGTTATTTTAATGGACAAACTAAGTATGGACTGTTCCTCTCTTTGTAATAATCATCACACCTTTGAACACTATCTTATTTATTTTTCAGGGTACAAAGTTATGGATTATTATGGAATATTTGGGTGGAGGATCAGCCCTGGATTTGGTAAGTGTATTTCTAAGTAAAGTAAATGAACAGGTCCTCTGGTGTGTAAAACAGTGTAAAGTCTGTGCCATCTTCCACAATGACTCCCACAGTCACCTGTATCTTCTCATTTATCCGTTATCTAGTTGGAACCAGGCGCCCTGGATGAAACACAGATTGCCACAATTCTGAGAGAGATCCTGAAAGGGCTCGAGTATCTGCACTCTGAAAAGAAAATCCACAGAGATATCAAAGGTAAGACACGCCGTGACCTTGTTTTAACAACGGGCTTGTAAATGATTTAATCTTGAGAACATGTTATCTTGTTAATAATGAGATAGTCAGACTTTAATAATTGGTGTCTGTGTTTAGCAGCTGTTGAGGGAAGTCAACAGCTTCAGTGATTCCTTTAATCCGTCACATTTCACACTCCAGTGTACATTTTGTTCAGTTCTGTAATCTCTAATGTCTCTGCCCTTTACGATGTTAGTAATAATCTTTGTGTTAAAATAGTGATGGGTGACAGAGGAGCCTGTTTTATTTGTTGATATTCATAGTACTAAAGCATGCAGATGTTGCTGAGGAGAGAGCAGTGCAAGCAATGGTTTTATACACCTATTTATTTCTGTAATGTGTCCTAGTTCCTGTAGAAAAACAATGTGTGGGTGCTGTGTAACGATCAGAGTGCTCCTGCCACTTCCCCTGTCCTGGTTCTTTATCATACAAATGCAAACACATAAAAGGCCATTAGAAACCTGCTTGTTGCTTTATCAGGTCCAACAGAGATCTTCAATTCCAGAAACTGGGAACAATCACATTACTAAAGTGGTTGAGACACAGTATTGTCCGTACCTTTATTTTAATTGCAGATTATTCATTTAAGCACTGGATGTTTTAAAGATGCTGTTTGAGCTGTGTTTGAAGTATCTCATATTTTTGTCCCTCTCGCTTCCAGCTGCCAACGTGTTGATGTCCGAACAAGGCGACGTGAAGCTGGCAGACTTTGGCGTTGCGGGCCAGCTGACAGATACCCAGATAAAAAGGAACACATTTGTTGGTACTCCTTTCTGGATGGCACCTGAAGTCATAAAGCAATCTGCTTATGATTCAAAGGTCAGAATTATCCCAACTTTTATTGTTATCACAGCCAGGTTTAGTGTTGGGAAGCAGCTCTGTGTTGTATCGCGAGGTCCCAAAGAAAAGGAGAAAATGCTTTAAGTGGTATCAGTAAATTGCTAAAGGCTTTTTTAAATGTAAAAGACGGTCATCTGACAGCCATTTTGTACCAAAACAGTGAGCACACTTTACTGCACATGTACCATTGCACAGCAGCAAACAGTGAGAGCATAAAGGCAAATGTAACAGGCGTATTATTTGGTGAGACAAAGAAAGGCCAGAACGATTTTTGGCAGTGGCCTCAAAATGTCATGGGTGTTAGACAGTATACTATTCAGACCAACACAGTGACGGGTGTCAAACCTGCTTTGGTGACTCAGTGTCTCTTGTAGGGTGGAAAATGTCATGTTGCAGTTGTATAAAAATCCCTTTACCCACTTCCTGTGGTAAAAGAAATACAGAAAGTGAGCAGGTGAGTGAGAGTGAGCCTACAGAGAGGAGGAGAATGTGTGTGTGAAGCTACAACTTTGCTCAATTTGGTTGTTATGAAGTATAAATAACTGAAGTGCATGTAACTACAGTTACAGAACATAATAATAAAGAACATCAACCCAAAATATCTAGATATGATAAAGATACATTACATACTGTAAGTGCATATATAATAAGCGTGCTCACTATTCATATAATTCATTTTTCATTTACTCTGTAGAGAAGGAGAAATGTGTATACACTAATACAGGCTAAAGCACAATTTGACATAAAGCTTGCTTGAACAGTGAATCATGGATGAAGTAAAGTTTAAACCACATAACAGCTGTTTCATAGGAGAAGGTTGAGCGCAGGGCGAATGTGAGTCAGTTGACACATGTCTGTGTGTGTATCCTGTATGAAAGGACAATTATCGACCTCAGACAATACCTGTTGTCAAACCCAAGTGAAACATAACCAAAGCTTTGTCGACAGTTAGTCTCCGTATAAATGAAATATTGGTTAAGGTCATTGTGCCCAAATGATCTGTATCTTTTTCTCTTTCTTTTCATTGCTCCGTCAACACTGTGTGTTTTCTGTCTGGAGTTTTTAAGCCCTTTTTTAAGACGGGTCTAGACTAGAAATGACCAAGTGCATATTTTTGGGACAACCACGACATGAGTCACTGTGGCTTTTCAACACAACCACAATGTCACTGTCTTCAGTTTGCAGCTTCCTCAAATACACCCTTGCTGCCTACGTCAGCCATGTTATTTCACACAGCGTTGTGCCAGTGTGTGTATTTGTGTGTGAGATTCTGCTGCTTTGATGAGAGGATCTTTTTTTTTTGTCCCAAATATCTTTGTTTTATAGGCAGACATCTGGTCATTAGGAATAACCGCAATAGAACTGGCTAAAGGAGAGCCTCCCCACTCTGAGCTTCATCCTATGAAGGTCTTATTCCTCATCCCAAAGAACAACCCACCAACACTGGAAGGAAACTACAGTAAACCACTTAAAGAATTTGTTGAAGCCTGTTTAAATAAGGAGCCTAGCTTTGTAAGTTTAAAAGACTCTTGTTCCTACTGTTTTGATAATAATGCACAGTTCAGAAAGAGAGACCGCTATGCTTTTAATATTCACTGTTGAGTTTGTTTTGTTTGTTTTCCTTAGAGGCCAACTGCCAAAGAGCTGTTAAAACATAAGTATATTGTAAGGCATGCCAAAAAGACATCCTATCTGACAGAGCTGATTGACAGATACAAGAGGTGGAAATCAGAGCAGTCTCGGGATGAATCCAGCTCTGATGAATCTGATGAGTAAGTTATCTGCACTTCACTGGGGGGGGAACGTGGATTTACACTCTGAAGCTAAATCTAGCCACTTTGGGTCCACTGATGATTTTTCCTAAAATCCCGTGTCACTGTAGGGAGCCAGATGGCCAGGCATCTGGAGGAAATGACGCCAGCAATGATGACTGGATCTTCAACACCATCAGGGAGAAGGACCTGAAAAAGTTTCAGAATGGGGCAGCACAGCCCGCTGAGCTTGAAAGGAAACAGGTGAGAGCGTGTGCCACTGCAGAGGTGACAAGTAATAAATGAGCAGTCAGGCAAAGTGTGTCTCTCAGATTTCCCTTTTCACCTTAAAATCCTCCTTTTTTTCCAGGTGCAGGAGAGTCCAAAGAGGCCTTTGTCACAAAGCTTATCAACAATCTTTTCTCCGTTGTTTACCGAGGTAGGAGCATTACCAAGTGACCCCAAAATGAAAACAATCATGACTGAAGAGATGTTTAAAAATGAAACATAATAAAACTATTGTAGAACAGAATTAAATCTGAGGAATTCATTTTGATATTCATTTTAGAGATTTCTCTACCACTGAAGCATTTAGGATGTTTTAGGATTATCTAAAAGCTGTCATTGTTGCAGTTGAAAGAAAAGGGTGAGACAAGTAACGGCAAGCCAGAGGCTGCAGAGGAGCTGCGGGAGGCCATTTTCCTGGCAGAAGAAACGCACCCAGGGATCTGTGACTCCTTGGTAGCTGAACTAGTGCAGAGACTTCAGAGGTAACGTGGGTCCCTTCTCAATATATTCTTATAATGTACTTCCTGTTGAAGCTGGTTCTTTGGGCAGAACATCAGACAGTTTCCATACTGTCAGTGGTGTAAACCTTTGGGCTTTCAGGTGTGGAGAGAGGCATTGCTCTAATGAAATACCTTGACAGCATTAAGCAGACTGCATTGATTGCTGATAGGATTGCAGAGAAATCTTAAGCTTTACAGGGACTTAGTTATAAACCCAAGTATTGGAGCAATTAAAGTTTTAAACTGATGGCATCTCTAGATCAAAGGTTAACGAGTCACCGATGTTATTACAGTGTACTCTGAGGCCAACATCATGTGAATGTCCGTACCAAATTATAAAAAGCATCCAGCAGATTCTGAGATATTTCACTCCAACCACAAATGTCAACCTCGTTTCATGCATCCTCTGAGCCAGCAGCTGTGGTACATATCTGGTACAGATATTCGTGATGCTCAGAGGATAGATTTTAATAACATTGTTGATCCCTATACTTTTTATATAGCCATGCTGCCTGCAGGTCAAACTGTCCCCTCGTCCACAGCACAGCTTACACTGATAAGTCTGAGCACGTAGAACTGAGCCTGAACTGAGTCCTAGAGGATCTTAAGTTGCCACTGTGCAGAATATAAACCCTCCTGATTTAAGTTACATGGACTTTACTCAGGATAAGTGATAAGTAATGACGCACTAATAGCAGGAATTGTACAATGGTTATCCATTTTCCATCCATTCAGCAGCTGGTGGCTGTGTAATGGTACAGTGACTAGTGTGACTGAAGGCCTGTCCATAAGATTTTAACCTTTTTTTTTTTTCTTCTTCTTTTGTTTGTCAGGTTTTCTGTGCCACATGCAGCTGCCACTCAGTGAGAGGAGCCACATCCAGCTCCGCTCTAGTTTTCCACCCTGGTGGCAGCAGTCAGACCTTTACTCTGACCTCCACAGCCGGGATGAAGTCTCCCAGGAAGGTCTCCATCACTCATTTGCCTGAAGCAAATCCTGGCCTACTTTTAATGTTTATACGCTAGCACACCACCAGTGGGCCCTATTCAGGACAGTCAGTGGCCAGCCACTTAACTGCCACCATGACTGCCACCTGCTGTAAGATGTCCCTTCTCAATACCTCCTTCACAACTGTTTTTGTTTTAAGGGTGGAGTTAGCTATCTTTCTGCAAGGACTCTTTGAGTTTCTGGTTTTGGTGAGTTTGTGGCTTTTTCACAAAGGTCTACCCTCAGCATCCTTTTCAGAACAAAAAACCTTGCCTAATTAATTGTGTGCATGTGTGCGTGGCTGTGCGAGATACCCTGTGAAATGTGCGGTGAAGAGTGACGAGTGGGTTGAAAGCGTTCTATTGAAAACTCAGGTATCCTGCTTTAAGTGGATTGGGTCCTCTGGGAGATGGAAAGAGCTCTATAGGGTGGTTGTACAGACTTGTAAATAAGCTCATTTCTACAGATTCATGAAAAAATAATGGAGTGTTTGTAATGGAACCACTGTGTACAAATGGCCAAATGCAAACTGTAGATAATGGTTGTGAGGTAAATATTTTGAAAGACTAAAATGGCCATACATGAGATTGCCTTGCCTTTCTACTTGTTCTTTTGTATATCGGTCTTTGATTTCTCCAGTTGTAAAACTTTTTGAGTACTCATCCAGTGAATGAAAATGGCTGCCCTCTATCATGTTTTACTATTGATTTATTATATATTTCTTAATTCTCTTTAACTTTTTGGTTTCACACTCTATGCTGTGGCTGTAACAATGTTGGAGAATGTAAAAAAGAAAAGGAAAAAAAAAAAAGGCTGGATCACTGAAGCCCCAACCAGTTTTAAACACTGGATGCTCTGTCGCCAGCCCAAATTCCACAAGGCCTCGAGTCGTGTTGGTTTGTTGGACTTCGCCTCATCCCTTTTCCCCCCCATGTGTTTTTGACTGGTTAGATAAACTGAGGTTGCATCCGTTCATTCCATTAACAGGGCAGTGCCATCATCTAGTTTCTAAATCAGCAGACTCTGATAGTCTTCCTAGGAGCTGCAGTGGTACTATCTATCTCCTCAGCGTACCGACAGCTTTAATTGCACTTCAAGTATAAATGCCTTTGACTATAAACAAAGTAGCCATAAAACAGTAGCACGAGACTTACAGTATTTTGCAGGTATGCTATCTGGGACAAAAAAAAAAAAAGTTCCCCTGAAGTCTCACAGCTTGGACTCTTGAGTTGGTCATGCAGTGTGATACTCGCCTGGCTGTATATCTCCATTGGGACTTGTGAGAGGTTTTTCAGTTGTACAGTAAATGCATAGAGACGTAGACTTCTCACATAGCAGACGACACTGCTCTCAGATGTACATATTAACGTAAAGCCAGGTGGTGTTCGGAGACCAGCGGCACTGCTACTACTTCCGACTGTAGTTTAAGAGGAATGTGCATGATAGTATAACAGTATAACGCCTATTGGTCGACCTGAGCGGTGTGTGTTGTAGCACACTGCTACAGGACTGGAGGAATGTTGAGTCCTGAACAGAGTTGAATCAGCCTTAGAGTATTTGTGATGAATGGGATGAAATAGTGTCAGCTTTAAAATGTTAGATCAGATGTTATTGTTGTAACCCCCCCCCCCCCCCCCCCCCCATGCTCCCCAATAACACGTTATATGTCGGTTTGTTAAAGTTCACACAAAACCCCAAATGTTAAACAGCATTTTAACCAGCAAGGTATTGTGCCAGCTATTGTTTTTTTTTTTGGCTGACCCAGTAACTCCTAGAGTCTCCGCTGCCTGGCAACTGGTCCCGATTTGAACAACGGCACTGATCTCTAACGCAGTGGTTCTCGACCTGGGTTCCTTCAGAGGGCTTTAGGGATGTTTTAATTTCATTATTTTATTGACTAGAAGTTGGCCCAATAAGAGGAAATATAAGAAGGACTATTGTGTTCTCTGGTTTCTCACTCTTACTGTTAATCTACCAAACTACAGTATTTTATAGTATTATGGAGTCACTAAATCTCATCAGACAGGGATCCCTAAGATTACAGATTATAGATTATCAAATACGGGACCAGTAACTTCCCAGCCTGGTTTGTATCCATTTAGACGAGAACCACTGCTCTAATGTAACCGCTGGCTAGTTGGTTAGGTTAACTCTCTGCCAGAAAGCAAATACACATATTTCCAAAAATGTGAAAACTATTCTTTTAATTTGTTCATTTATAATTTAAATAGAACGTTCCCTCCCCCATTTCTCTCCAGATACTTCTGGTGTTTTCTTTTCTGCTTGGTAATTGAGGTTTAAACATTTAACATGTTCAAATGAATAGGCAGAAACTGGTTGACCAAATCAAGAAAAAGGTACCAGACTCAATGATTTCCATTCTCACTGTTTTGCTTTGTGTTTTCTGCGCTTTCCATTCAAATTCAAACTTATGTGAAATGTGCCATGTAAGTCCTCCATCCAAAACTGAGACAAATTCATTACAATTTGCACCTTTTACATGGTCTACTATGGCTCTTTCTCTTTTTATGTATTGCACTTTGCATTTATTTTGGTTTTTAAAAAAGTGGTACTTTAAAAAGACTACAATATTACAACCAGTTTTATTTTATTTTCCCCCCCTTTGTGTGTTGTATGGCAATAAAGCAGTGTGCTCGCCAGGAGTCCTTTCTTAGCACAAGTAGGCATATATATTCTATTAAACTATTTTTATAACCCAAAAGAGCAGTATTATGTAATAGAGGGAGTAAAGGTTTGCTTCTGTGATGTGTTAAAGTTTCAGTAAACACTGGATAGCAATCACTTCAAATTTGATTTTGTGTGACTTTGCTGACAGTTTAGTCCAGTATACATATTCGCTAATTCAGAGCAGTGCTGTTGGGTTTATTGAAAGTTGTCAAATGATTAAGGAAAAAATAAAAATCCAGTACAAATTTGATGAACAGTTTTGCCATTGTTTGACCGAGTCTCAAGTCTTCTGCCCCAGAGCAGTTTAAGTGCATATGTACATCAGCCTAGTGTGTCTAGAAAATATAACCATTCTTACATGTTATGGTACTGTATTATAGTCTATTAAATTAAAATGATTAATTTGTTTCAAAGTAATAACAATAATAAATAAATAAAGTTAAGGATTATTTAAATTTCATCTTCACGATGCTCCAAAAAGATGCACATTAGGACATTAAGACAAACCCTATTTTTAATATTTAGTCAAGGAACCCTTCTAAGAATTCAGGTAACTTCACTCTGTATGTTGGATGAGCGCTAGTAAATAGTAAATACTAAAACTATTCAACTTACTAAGTTATGTTTTCTTAGTTGGATTAAATAAATGGTACCAAAGAACGCAGTAATGTGAATCTCGACAGCAATTTAAGACATAATTGTGACATTTAAACACTCCTGAAAAAGCTGCTTAAATCACAGAATTTCTAGCATTTTTTCTTTACTTTGAAAATCATCAATCTGAATTTGTATTTTATATCTCTGAGATATTTTTATTTTATTTTATTTATGTTTTGCTGAGGTTCTAAGACAATTGTGAAACAAGTTCCATTTTATAGCTGTACTGAAGCTTCCTGATCATGTCATGGTCTTCATCTGCAGATGGATTTTCCCAGTTGTCATGGAGTTGTAGACGTTTTATTCTTGGCTTAGAAGCTGACTTCTACAATACTGTGACGACTACACTCTGACTCCACCTGCTGATGAGGAGCATGTGATATGATTGAAAGCTTCAGAACATAAATGGACCTTGTGGTGAGAGTATGTCCACTTAAAATCAGGTTTTTAATGAGGGAAACCAAATAGTGTAAAAGTTGAATATTTCAGTGCTATGATAATGTCTAAATCTAAATATTTCCAGTGCAGTTACAGTGGAAATTATTCCTCCAGTAAGTGTAAACTATGTCAGCAAATACCTCACAGCAAGTTTTATTTATACATCCAAAAACAAAAGATCAAATTTCTCACACTATATACAGATATTACATACAGTGTTTGTACACATATTACATAATTTGTACACAAGAAAAATATACATAAAAATGTAAACCTTTGTATACAAAAAATACCTTAGACAGATTAAACAAGGACCAATAACAAAAGGTGACTAGATTAGCTCATCCTATCTTTAAAAACAGTAATACAGTACATTCAATGAGTATAGGAATTTGTCAGCCATTTCTGAATTCAAGCAGTTAAATGTGCCTACGAGCCCTGTTCGTTTTGTTCTGCGTGGGTTCTTCGGGAGAGTAAACTGGTGCAGTGGCTAATCTCATGCTATGTGTGGGGGGGGGGGGGGAC